AAACTCTCCAGCTTGTCACCTTATCACCCTTCCCTTTAGGAATCAGCAAATGTCTGAGTGCCCGAAGGTCTTCTGTGTTTTCCTTCTAGCCACCCGGCCAGGTGGGGTGCCGAGGAAGGGCGACTGGCATTGGTCAGGTCCTGGCAGACCACAGAGTCCACACTCAAGGGGCAGGAGGGTTAAATGGAAGACCCAAGTGTGCTCAGGGTTATGGGAGCCCACCCAGCAAAGTGATGCCCCCCAAAGGGGTCACTACAACCCAACGCCTGAAGGTATAGCAGGCCAGAGGCGTTCAGCAGCCCAACAAAAGTTGGAACTGTGGGGTCAGGCCCCTCACAGGAACCAGGGAAGTCTAAGCTCAGACCCCTTGTGGGTTCCTGCCTTCCCCAAACTCAACCAGGAACCAGCAGCAGAGGGGGGGCAGCTAATTTGGTCTGTCCAGGTCAGACTCTCAGGGCACAGAGCAAGATAGAGAGGGGAGAGAGTGAGTTTGAGGGCCAAATGAGAGCATCCTCCCATCCTCCATCCACACATGACTGCAGGGAAGGAGACGTATTTCTAGTCAGGTGCCGTAGGACAATATTTCGGTCAGTGATGGAAGGTATGTACCATGGTGGTCCCAAAAGATTATAACGGTGCCTGAAAAGTTCCTATTGCCTGGTGACCTGGTAGCCACAGTCCACCTGTTCCTCTCGTGTGTGTGGTGGTGCTGGCGTAAACACCTGTGGAATCAAAACACAGCTCACACAGTTATGTTCTGTGCAGAGTACTCGACTGTGGTCACAAATGTCTATGCTTTTGTTTTCTTTTCTTATACTATACTTTCTATTCTTATTTTTGAGTGTACTCTTTCTACATATTAAAAAAAAAAAAAGATAACATCGATCAGCCTCAAACATGTCCTTCAGGAGGTGTGTTCCAGAAGAAAGGGTGATTGTCATAGAAGTGCCAGCTCCAGGCAGGTCGTGCTGCTGAAGACCAGCCAGTGGGAGGTTGTGGAAGACAGTGATGTTGATGAACCTGACCTTGGGTGGGCCCGGGCTAATGTGTGTGTTTGTGTCTTAGTTTTTAACAGAATAGTTGAAAAAGAAAGAAAAAGAAATAAATAGGGGGAAAAAACCCTTTATGGAATAAAGATACAAAGACAGAAAACATTTTTATTTTATTATTTTACTTTCTTTTTTTACATATACATGTGTTTTATTTGGTTTCCACTTTTTGCCTTCACAAAATCAAAAACATCTTTATACAGCTGTGTAATGCGTTTGGGTTTTAAGCTAAGTGTCATTATAAATGAGTCAAAAAGTTAAGAGCTGGGCACAGTCTGAGCCTGTAATCCCAGATACTCAGGAGGCTGAGGCGGGAAGGTCACTTGAGCCCAAGGGTTCAAGGCTGTGGGGCAATATGGTCACACTGGTGAATAGCCACTGTACTCCATCCTGGGCAATAGCGCGAGACCCCCGTATCTAAAAAGTACATTTAAAAGTGAGAAGGTTTATGGGGTAAAAAATTTACAGCAAACCAAGATTAATTTATAATTGAAGAAAAAACATATTTTTAGAAAATTATTGTAGCCTGAGCGGACAGTGTTTCTAAGGCCTACACTCTCGGAGTGGCCCAGAGAGACTTCTAGTCCTGCAGACACCATTCCTGATATGTGCCCTCTGCAGGTGCCCCATTTCTTATCTCTTATACTATAGGTACCTTTTCTGTGTGTACATATGCTCAGATACACAGATGCTTAGCACTCTACAGGCCTGTGTGTAGGAGCAAGAGATTGTACCATGTGGCCTGGGTGTGTGGTAGGCCCTACCATCTAGGTGTGTAAGTGTCCTCTATGAGGCTCACAAAACAAAGCAGTCTCCTACAGATGCAATTCTCAGAACTGACCCCCATTGTTAAGTGATGTGTGACTCTAAGTATGCAGATGAAACCTTCCTGAAGGGGCTGGTGATCCCAGAATGGGAAATTCATACCCTGTCCCTTGATGGGGGGGCGGGTCAGTGTCCTTGGAGCAGTTGTGACCATCTTTAATCTACCAAGAAACTTCAAAACCTAGACATCGTAGCTCCAAAAACCAAAGTCTTCATGACGGGACTGTTTCTGTGACCCAGCCCTTTCCAGGAACCTTTATTTCTGTTTCCTCCTCGTTCCATACTCCAACCCCTGCCTCACTCCCACGGTTCACTTCTGTACCCACAAAAGTTTGGACCACTCAAAACTCTTCCCGGAGCATATTCGATGACACTCTGATTTTCTGCCTTCCTGGGTAGCAGGGCCTTGCCGCCACCGTTCCAGATGATGAATTTATTCATGGTGGCAGGTGTATCCGATGAAACTAAAGAGATTGGAAAATTATGTAAAATGTTTGAGAATGTGCGCACTTGCGCTTACGTTGGGTGGGCCCATTTTAAAAAATCCCTGAACCCTGAAGCCAAGACAAAGTTTGATATCCTGGAGGCTGTGCGTTTAAATATTTGCGATTCAAAAGAGCCTGATTCAGCACGTTTTGCCCCATCCTCGCCCCTTCCCGGTTATGTTTCCCGAGTGCAGGCATTTCCCTATTCATTTCCTTCACGGTTTAAATGGTGACAGTTGAATCTGCAGAACGATCTTTCATCCTGAGTCTTTTGCAGATATTATCCAGAGGTAAGCGCTGGCGTCTTCTTATTATAGGTGGAGAGATTAAGATAGGCCTAAAGCCACAGGCATCTGAGCTCTCCCCTCTCTTGCCTCCCTCGCCCCTTTTCTTCTCCTAACACAGGGTTTCCTAAGCCTGTTTTTGGCCTTTGGGGCAGGGTAGTTCTTTGCTGTGAGGCCGTTCTGTGCGCGGTAACGTGGCCAGCAGTGTCCCTGGCATCTACCCACTAGACGCCAGCACTGCCCACCATCAAGAATGTCTCCGGATCCAGATTCTGAGGGTTGAGGGGGAGGGAGGCAAATTGCCCCTTCTTGGCAGCCACTGCATTTGAAAATCCTGAGTACTAGAGATTTGTCAGTTAATTGGTCTGAGATGGAGCTGGGGCACAGAGTATGTTAAATCTTGAGTATTTCTTAACCCACCAGGGTTAAGAATCTCTGTTCCTAAATTTGAATTCCAGCTCCCTAAGCCTGAGTTTCCCGATCTCTGATGCTGAAATGATAATGCTGTACTCGTCTCATAGAGCCGTGCGTCCCGAGTCTGCAGGTCCTCGTGAGATCTGATGCACAGTGCTGTTGGCCTTCGTGGTCCCTGCTGCACCCCTCTTCTTCTTTCCTGGTATAGAACCAGAAGGGAGACTGCAATACACCTGGGCTTCGGGGGCTGCATTTTGAGGGGAGTCAGGGAGCGTGAGGGCCCTGAGGATGGACAAAGTGATGGTTCAGAGAGCAGCGGGGGAGGCTGCAAGGTGGGGTTTGATGGGGGAGGGTCTCGATGCCGATAGAGTTGTAGGTGGAGTAGATGTGGGGCTCTGAGAACCCTGCAGGTGTGGAAGGCCCATCATTATAGGATTTCTGAGAAAAAGTGGTTCTGGATGAGGCTGAAGTCCAGCTTCTGCAACTGGGAGTAGGTGGGCAAGGTGGGGAGATGGTAGTTGGAATTAAACAGCTCATAGGTGTGGATTCAAGACTGTTGGATGATTTGTCCCTGATGGGCAAACTTTCCTTGGTGATGTCTGAAGGTGGGGAGGTGAAGAGATCCAGATCCAGAGGTCATTGTCACAAACAGCCTGCATAGGAGTCACTGGGATATCAGGACTTCATTTAGAAATAGCCGGTCAGGAACATAGGCAGTTGGGAGCCATGCCATGAACTGAGGGCCGTGAGTAGTTCTGGAAAAGAAACAGCACCTCTCCAAGTGCCCTCTGTGTAATTGAAATATTGGGTGCCGTCTCTCAGGACAGTACACAGCTTGGACTGCGTTCTAGGAGGCAGGTTTCCATTCAGGGAGGTCCGTGCTCCAGTAGAAGGGGCCAGATTGAGAAGGGTAAACCCTCCCTTCTCTGAGAGGCTGGATGACTTCCTGTTGGGGATGTCTGGGATGCTTTAGAGCCGCACTCTCCACTCTTTGTCAAGTCAGGCCATACCCAGAGAATGATAATCGTATGGTGTGAGAAGAAGATAGGAAAGTGAACTGGCAGCAGGAGGTAGCTGGCCCGAAGATGCCAGCCCTGCTCTGCCCAGTGCCTTTGAGAGCATGAAGAGATGAGTGTCTTTGTCACCTGTAATCCAGTCCTAGCACAGCAAGGCGCCCTGGGTGGGGAACTCGGGGCTGCAGGATGTTTTCTGCTTTGCCTGGAATGCGGGATGCCAGGCAGCGTGTTCTACTTTTGGCATGGTTCCACCCTGTCACCATCCTGCAAGACACTTGTCATGGTGCTTATGTTGCAGTGATTCACCTGACCCTGTAACTCTCCTAGGGTCATGTGGGTTAAAAGATTCATGTCTGAGGCCATGCTGCTGACTGCTCGGAGGGGGTGACTCACAGGGTGCCCTTGGAATCTGCCGTCTTTAGTTCTTTGAGCGATAGCCCAGACGGGGTGTGTGGGCGTTCGTCAGCCCCTTTAGCCCTGCTAGCAGGTTGGCCCCAACCCAAGACGTCTCCAGGGAACATCTCACAAGCTCTCTGAGTCGTCGCTTCCCAGCCTGAGATCCCTAATCGTCAGTGCGTCCTCTCAGGGCTCATTTCTTCTCTCTGTTACCAGTTGTCATTGTCCCCAGCTTGGGGGCAGGCAGGGGACTCACAAGTTGCCTATATGAGCCAGTCACCGTCTCTCTCACCCCTCAAATGTAATTGAAAAGAGCCTTAATGGTTTCCGAATGATGATAGCGCCATAAACCGATTAAAAAGGCCTTAATAAAACTGTCTTGAGTTATTTTCCACAGCTGAAGACTGTGCCCTTTGTTTTCTAATGATCCCAACAAGAAATCAGGACGATTTTTCTTTTTCGTGTGATCTGAGACACCAGCAAGGCCTCCCTCCACCTCTGACCGTTCACTGCCTTTGCCTTTCTTCTCAGACAATCCACGTGGCCATCGTCTGTGCCGGGTATAACGCCAGCCGGGACGTTGTCACCCTGGTCAAGTCCGTCCTGTTTCACAGGTAAGAGCTACTCTTTGCTCTGTGGGCTGATGTCTGTCACTCCCTGCCTATTTCCTTGGGGAAGTGTTAAAATAAAAGCAGAATTTCTCATCAGTCATTCAGGCTGCCGTGAGAATGTGCTTTTTGTCTGAAACCTTGGAGAGATGATTGTGTTAGCCGTATTTAGTAGCAGTGGCTAGGTACCGTCTTGCCAGGTTTAGAATTGTAGTCCTCTGACCTACAGTGACCTTCAAGGACATCCCAAATCCGAAGCTTTAGTATCTACATCAGCTTACCCTGCTTGGCATTCAGCAGACCTCTCTCTCTTTTTACACATCCTCCTTGGTAGGTTGTCTTACGTGTTGAGTTGTATCCGCTCAAAATTCTTCCATTACAGCCTTAACCCCTAATAATACCTGGGAATAGGATTGTGTTTGGAGATAGGGCCTTTACAGATGTAATTAAATTAAAATCCGATACGACTGATGTCCTTTAAAGAAAAAAGATTAGTACACACGGATCAAGGGCAGACCATGTGAACACGTGCTGAGAGAAAGGGCCCTCTGCAAGCCAAGGACAGAGGCCTCGTAAGATCTGAGACTTCTGGCTTCAAAAATTGTGGGAAGATGAATTAATTTTATTGTGTAAACCACCCAGTGCATGTGTCATGTTATAGCAGCTGTAGCAAACTAATACAGATTGCTTACTCTACCCAGCATGGCCTGTCCCACCTCTGGGCATTTCTGGCTGTTCAGAAGCCCCATCTTGTGTTAAACAGAAACTTCCCAACCCACTGGTGTTGTCCAGTGGATCCCCCTGGAACCACTCGTACTGATGGCTGGTCCCTCTTCCTCAAAGTGCTAAAGCCTTTCACGATCATCTCTTCACGTTAAGCTCTCCCGGCTTCCTTCATGTGCGTCAAGCTTGCGGCCCACAGGCCACAGATAGACTTTGTCAGGACTTGGTTGCTCATTTGCGTGTCAAAGATCATGAAAATTAGGCACGTGTTTGTGTATTTCACGTGTGGCCCAAGACACCTTCTCTTCTTCCAACGTTGTATGGAGAAGCTGAAAGGTTGGATACCCTGCCAGTGCTCTCTCATGGGGCTTTTCTCCTGTCCCCTCACTATGACAATTGCCATGCAGGCATACTCAGGGATGGTCCCCTGCACTGAGACCACGGTTCAGCCAGTGCCCGTGGCTGTGCTCTAACATTCTCGCCAGGGTTTGGATGACGCTTACCCACAGGTGTAGCCCACAGGACAGAACTGCATCAAGTGACCAAGTCAGGATCCAGGAGGTTCTCAATACTAGGGACACTTATTAAAGCTCTCAGAGTTCACCTGAGCAGAGTGTCACATTCTCTACCTGCGTCCGCTTATCAGTGACACAAACAGAGATGGGAGGAAAAGTGGACACCAAGACCTAACAACGCTGCAGGGGCCTGGGGTTCCTCAGCTCCTCCACCTTCTCTCTCAGCCTCCCACCAGCCCGTCTGTAGTCACACCCTCCCCCAGGTCTTCCTTGTAGGCAGTTTTCACTTCCAGCGCTTTCTCTCTGTCCCCACCGTGGCTGCCATGGTTCAGTCCCACCTGTCCTCTCACCCACGCGCATCCTTCCTGCCTCCCTGGTTTCTACTCTTCAGCTCCGTCCATTCTAATTCCAGAATGACATTCCAAAGAGGCAGATCTGATTTCTTAAACTTTTCTGTGGCTTCTCCTCACCAAGGCACTACTGTGGCCCACAGATCATGGGGTCCGAGGCCCCTGTCTGCAGAGCTTTCTATCTATTTCCTCTCTGCTCAGACTTCGTGCTCCGGCTTGTCATCTCTCATCATGCCCTGTTCTGTCTTCTTTGTACCTTTCCCCCACCCCCAAACTGGCAAGTTCCTTCAGACCCTGTAAGACTTTGCATAAAGTGGCAGCAACTCTTAATGGGAAGCCCACCGGCAGCCCTCGGTCTGGGTTGGGCTTCTCGTCTCCAGCCCACAATACCCTGTGTGCATCGAGCTATCATTAGATTTAGCACATTGTATTATATTTATACTCATGATTTATGTCTTCTGTTGTAGAATGTGGCCACTTCTGGGACAGAACTCATCCAGGAGTTTTCTATATCCCTAATACCTTAGCAAAGTCCCTGACTGATACTCAATAAATGTTTGCATGTTTAACACGTCAGTCTGGGGGAGTCCCTCAGTAAAGACCCCGAAGATATTTATTCAATCTGTTAACTAATGTATCCATTCCAGATATAGTTCTGTTTCATTTATGCTAGTCTATAGCTGAGTGATCTTTACTGACTCTTTAGACATTACTTTCTATATCAGACAGCTTTTGCTATGCATCACTTCACCCCAGAAATTATTTGGTGTGAAACATTTGTTTATTAGCTTGCCCGTTTCACCTGAACTCACCTGTGTGGTTCTTTTGCTTGGGCCCACCCTATGTGCCTGTATCATGAGCCAGCAGGTGAGCCAAGCATCAAACATGCTGCCCTCCTGGAGTGGGGCAGGGGACACAGGAGAAGTGGGCAACACTTACGTTATGACAGCATCAGTTAGTGGATGGGCTGTCCCTTCTTCCTGGTGGCTCTGTCCACTTAGAATTGTGATGTGGGTTGCACACTTGAGGAGGAAGTGGGAAATGCCCAGTAAAGAATGGTCAGTTGGGGTTCACCAATGTCTTCTGACCTGAAGTGGAGGTGAGAAACCTTTTCCTCACGGCCATGGCTTCTGTGCAGTTCTGAGGGCTCCATCTGGTTCCGCAGCCTTCGTCTGCTGTTGGACACCAGGCATCTTGCAGGCTAAGCATTGAATTAGATGAGTGTTTCTCTGCCTCTATGTCTTTACTCCTTGTCTCCGTTAAAGAACTTGGGTCTCTCCCTGAGACACACAAAAAGCCCACTTTTCAGAAAGGGCTAATTGCATGATTATAAATATGCAATTATGCTATTTCTCAATGACAGTGAATTTTAAGGTCATAAAAACTTCTGATGTTGTTATGTAGAAATTTTATTCCTGTTTCTTGAGCTAAAATCAGCTAATCGTTGTTGAAATTGTATGACTTGTATTGAGTATAAACTTCTACTCCTACAGTAACGGTGCTGAAAGCATAAAGATGTTAAATTTAAAAATAGCAATAATATTATTACCAACCGCTGATGGCATGCCATACTTTTATGAAGCCATGGGGATTCAAAAAGAAAGCAAAGTCTTAGTATGTGTAATAAGAATTCTGCTTCCCATGTCCATGATGGCTTGATCATCTTGGACCAAAGACCACGGAAGTCCTCCTGTGCCTGAAATAAATTATACAAATGGGAATGATTCTATAAATTGATAGGCTGGTGATAATGAGGTGAGATATCAAGACAAAAGGACTCTTGAAAGACTTTCTGCTCAGAAAGTCCAGCTATAAATAGCTTCATTGCCACCCAAGCACATTACCGGGTTTAACTAATACGGGATTATAAAATACTTTGACAAATGAAGTACCTTCTAATGTTAGTAATAATATAATAATAGTGGAGTGGGATGCTTCTTTTAGATTTCACTGTTAATTACAGTAATCAGATTTATTTTCCAGACAAGATTTTTAACTAATTTTTATTTAAGGCTTACTTTGTGACATCAAATCAATTTCACATCTGCTGCATGCCCGGTGACAGTGAGCACACTATATTTTAAAAGATAGTAAAAAGAGTGCTGTAGACATTCTTCTACACTGATGCCAACCCTGAAAATTGGTGTAAACAGTCAGAAAGAAATTTCACAGGATGTGCCAAAGACCATGACCTTATATGACGACTTTAGGTCATCGGTTTTAAACAGATGCCTCAGCTATAAAAATGCCTTTGATGAAACATTGCTTATAATCATAAAATTGGATAATGCTCAAAAATAATAAATGACCAAACATCCTTTAATAGTAAGTCATGTTTATTTGGTTTTTAAAAGTATATCTGGCCGGGCACAGTGGCTCATGCCTATAATTCTAGCACTCTGGGAGGCTGAAGAAGGTAGATTGCTTGAGCTCATGAGTTTGAAAGCAACCTGAGCAAGAGCAAGACCTGGGTAAAAAAAATACCTGAGTGTTGTGGTGGGCGCCTGTAATCCTAGCTACTGGGGAGGCTGAGGCAAGAGAATCACTTGAGCCCAAGAGTTTGAGATTGCTATGAGCTATGACCCCATGGCACTCTAGTCAGGGTGATGAAGTGAGACTCTGTCTCAAAAAAAAAAAAAAATTATGTCATAACATGAAGCGATGCTTATGGTAGAAAATAAATGAAAATATTAAAATGCACAATATGTATGTCAGGATATAAACCTATGTATGTCACATGTACACTTACAAAGCCAAAGTTCAGGGGATGAGAGACCAGCAAGGAATATATAAAAATCAGAACTTTTTTGTGTTGTGTTTGGGTGGTAGAAGTGGAGGTGGTGATGTTTTATTTCTCAATGAATATTTTTTTGTTCGTGTCCTTATGCACCCTCTATGAAGAATAAAAAAGGTGGATGAGAAACGTCTATACCAAGTATATGTGATAAAGGCTTATTTATTAGCTAGTTAAAAATAGCACAGTGCATGTCACCTAGATAGCGGGATACTCAGAGAAAAGTTAGGGGAATGTCAGTAACTCCAATCTCATTTGCAAATAAACTGAGCAATATTGCTGTTCTCCAAGGAAACCAAGCTCTTAGGAAGCAGAGAAAAGAAATATTTATTTAGTAACTAAGTGTTTACCTCCTGGGCAGAAAGGTGGATCAGCTTGTAAAAATTTAATATTTGTTTGCTGGGATGATCTACTTACTCAGACTCTACAGCCCTGATGGTGGGAGGAAGCTGGGTTATTTCCCTTACTTTGCATATCAAGTAGTTTTTTTCTTTTTTATTAGACTTCAGTAGGGCTCTTGTAGAACATGGAGAATAAAAGAGCGTACGTGTGACCAGTGTCTGCCTCTGATTGTCTTGTTGCTTTTTCAGGCTTAAAGTCATCTTAGAAACTGTGTTTGGGTAG